AATGCTGCATGGCCAGCGGAAAAGGGCGGACACCAGCAGTGACAGACCTGGGAGACGAATGAATAGAAATGCTCCATGGCCAGCGGAAAAGGGCGGACGTGCTGCATGGCCAGCCGAAAAGGGCGGACACCAGCAGTGGCAGACCTGGGAGACAAATGAATAGAAATGCTACATGGCCAGCGGAAAAGGCGGACACTAGCAGTGACAGACCTGGGAGACAATAGAAATGCTACATGGCCAGCGGAAAAGGGCGGACACGAGCAGTGACGCAAAGGGCGGACACATCTTAAGAAAGAATTGAGAACCCCTAACAATAAACTGTTTGGGGAAAACAAATGCATAGGAATGCTACATGGCCAACGGAAGAGGGCGGACACCAGCAGTGACAGACCTGGGAGACAAATGAATAGAAATGCTACATGGCCAGCGGAAAAGGGCGGACACCAGCAGTGACGCAAAGGGCGGACACATCTTAAGAAAGAATTGAGAACCCCCAACTGTAAACTGTTTGGGGAAAAAGTGGAGCAGGAAATCGAAGAGATTGCCCCTACTCCACCGGAGTCGGAGGTAGAAGGTCAGGAAGAACAAAAAAAAAGGATGAAGACCTTGAATGTGAACTGCAATTGAGCCCAATGGATGTAAACAAAGTCTTGGTGAATGGAGTAGAGTTGACTAAGGATTCTTCTTTGGCAACTTTGAGGGCAGCGTATTCATTTCCCGGCATTTCAGGCAGTGGCTCTAAGCCAAAAGTCTACACAAAGACCCTCAGTCGCAACAAGAAAATGGAAATGTTGAAATTGCCAAAAGCTTGGTGAGTGAAGCATAGCTGGCAAAGGCCCAAGAGACAAGAGCTGCATTAGGACCAAGTGTTGCAAAAATGCCACATGAAGCAACTCAGGCAAGGCAGAGGCTGACACACATGCCATATGCCAATTGGGTGAAAGGCGCGCATTGAACATCGAGCACGTCCAAACCGCCATGCGAAAACAGATGGAGTAAAAGATTAAGTATCCTTGAGGTAAGTTTTGACTTCTGTGCTACACAAGAGCAAGGGAATCTTTTGGATTCAGCGACAAAGTCAGCAAGGGCAGTATGTTGGCTAATTGCACTTGACAGCCAGACTGGATTCACTCATGTTGTGAGCAAGAACCAATTTCGCCTAACTGTGAAGGAATTGATGAAATTCACTCAATGGTTGAGGTATTCAGCAATCACCTACAGGAGTGGCAACGAACCCATAACAACACACATCCTATAGATGCTGATCAATGCTCGCCACAGGCTAGGACTCACTACCAGGTTGATTGCCTCAAAGCTTGGAGATCATTCATTACTTTCAGGGAATACAATTGACAGGGTGAGGAAGCTTGCAGGAACTTTCATTGAAGGTATGCAGTCAAGACTTGGTCTCAAGATAGGATCAGGTCATGCACTTTGGACTTGGGCAGCTAGACATGCAAGCTGGGTGCTGAACAAATTTTGACCAATCAATTCCCTATGAACTCGTCTATGGGAAGAACTACAAGGGACTTCTGGCAGAATATGGTGAACCAGTTCACGGTTAGATCAAGAGCCTCAACAAAGGAGAAGCAAGATGTCATCGATGTTTGCTCCAAAAATTGGAGGCAGAATCACAAAGCGGAGAGCAGAATCATTGCCAGCAGCACAAACAGACATTCCTCGAGAGCATGCAATGTTGAAGTTTAAGGATGAGGATGCAGAAGCAGTTATGGCAAAAGCTCTTCAAGGAAGAAGTGATTCAGAGAAAGAAGAACCACTATTCCCAGAACCAATAGCGATTGCAGCCCCGCAGGAAAATCCCTTTGGGAGCAATGACAAGGGACGGAGGTGAAAGGAAGCAAGCAAAGCGGAGAAGAGGCCCCAAGTAAGAAACAGAAAGTTCTCTTTGCAAATGAGAAGGCACTTCGGAAGATGAAGGAATTCCTGCTACATCATTGCCAGCAGGACGGCCTAATCCAATTATGCCTATGCCTATACTATTTTCATTGAGGTCACCATGAGCGCCACCGCGACCAAGGGCAGCCTTTGAATTGTTGCAGGAGGAAAGTCGGAGATGATTCAACAAAGAAATCCCAGATCAATTTGGTGAAATTTGCAGATGAAGATCTTCATCATGCGGATGAAAAGCCATCCCCAGTTGCAAAACAAGTTGATAAAGACTCGGAAGAAGAAGGAGGTGACTCAGAAGAACATGAAGTGAATGGACCTGAATGCTTGTGGTGTGATGGAGAAAAAGAACCTGAAGGAGAACCAAAAAAATTGATAGACCGAGTGGTTGATGAAGTGGAGGGAGAAATTCCACAAGATGCAGGCGCTAGAGGAACCTAAAGGTAGCACAAAGGAATCAGCTGCCTGACAACTCGCAATGTATATGACTGGAAAAAGCCTTGCCATCATAACGACGGAACAACAAGTAAGAGGTTGAAAAGAAGACCAAGACTAGTTGCGGGAAAGTTTGCTCTCGCAGAAGGAAACTTCAGCGGTTACCATCAGACAACTCAACTCAAACGGAGGCCAAATCAAAAGCCTTGTGTGAGCGAGAGAAGAGTAGCATTTTCAGAAGCATTGTTGGATCAAACAGCTACCTATGTCAAGAGAGGTAAGATGCAGCATTCACGGTGAAGGAATCGACTTCAAGCATGTCAAATCCTGCAGCTATGTCATTCCATCACTTGAGGATATTGGAAGACGACTATGCGCTATTGTCGAGTAGTTGAATCCCACAAGCAGGGAGAAATCATGTCCGCAAATGAGTAAGATAACTACATGCGACAGTTTCCTCAGCATCAAATGAGATATGCATTCGCGCACTTCTTGAATTTGCTCTTGGGACAAAGTTGGGCCACAATGGAGGCTTTGTTGAGCATGAAGTACCAGACCTTCAAACAGTCATCAGATGTGATGTAGTAGGAAAGTTGAATGCAAGAAACTCCTTAGCCAGAAGAAGCAACAGAAGAACCATATTGCGGACATCGAGTATTGTTGCGGGCAGTTACAAGTGAAGCAACACCATCAGGAACAAGCTTCATTCAGGGTCTACACCTGGAAGCCATGTGACCCGTTTGAGGATCACGAAGCCGATTCAGCCGCTCACACTACCAAGAGGGACTGTGAAACATGTTCAAGAAAGATCGGTGTCACTGCACATAGCATTCTTAGCGTAACAGTTTGCATCATGAGATTTTACTGAAGCCCGTCTTGGCTCGAGAAAAGTTCGCAAAAAGAACCCTTGTCGTACCCTGTTTAGTAATAAATCAAACGGATTTACGAAAATATCGGAAAAAAGGAAAAGGACAATGAATAAACATGATTTATGAATTAAACGGGGGAAAGATAATACCACAGCTAATTACACAAGGAACCCCTGCAGGAACCCGGCTTTGTTTCGGTGCTAGTGTGTTATGGAAGCCTGTCATTTTTTGGGGGGGAGAAGGAAGGAACCCCGTGTACTACTCAAGCTCAAACATTATGCGGAAAAGGGGGCGGAGTCAAAAACCGAATCCGTCATGAGTGTACCAACAGGGGTGAGCCTTCACATGAAAAACACAGAGCCTGGACTAGATGAGGAGTTCCCCCTTCAGAAAAGGGTGGTGTCGACAACGAACTTGGCATGCTGGTGCAAGAACGAGCCCAGATCCCGGAGGGACGTGCATGCCGACAGTTCCCGGGCCCGTCAAGGACACCACCGCCAAAAACCAATTGCAACACGTAAACTCAAATGTTGTTTTCTGATGAACCTAGCGCTACTGGTGGGGACCAGGGTCCCCCAGCTGTGTAATTTCTGTATATTAAATATGAACTCAATGAGTTCAAACATGAATCCACTGAGGTCCAGACAACTCAATGAGATGACATTTAATTATATAATTAAAATAGTAACCCACAACATACAGTTTAATTTTCTAAAACAAAATGATTTGTAGTGAGAAGAGACAAATTGCTATTTATTTTAGACAAGATATTTTTCTTGTCTAAAATAAACCAGAGCTCAGCTACTTTGATTAATTTTGAAAATAAATTGTCCTTTGGTAGGAGTTCTGAATTACCATTGGTTTGAATACTTGGCTGAGTTCTGCACAAACTAAACAAAGGGTAGTCCAACCCAAAGCAACCGGCTATTTAAGTAATTTCTTGACCTGGCCACTTGAAGACCCAGCTTGTCCTATTTTTGAGTTTTTTGTTCTTAATGTAGTAGCCTTGATGTAGGGAATAGTTATATATCTACATTCGATTGTCTGGGTCTGAGTAAGACAAGCCATACCATGCCATACCAGCTGGTCGCTTTATTGCAATTTTTTTTTCGGCTGCGGCTGGTTGGATTGCAGATAACCGAACCAAAACGGCAAACCCAGCAAGACTCAATCTCCTACCCTCTTGAAACGCGCACAGTTTGTCTTAGAAGTGCCAAAGACACATCGATCTGTTTTCCACTGCCCAAGGCCACAAAGCCACTGCAAAGCCAAGGCTTCAATGAACTCCAGTTATTTCGAGAACAAACTCTTCGCACTAGAAGCTCCGGCGTTTCTGCCCTCGCCCTCCGACAATCTCTTAAGCTACCAGGGCGAATCACATTCTGCGAAAGACATGGAACAAATAGCTTCACTTCTATTGATGAGATTGTCCCACAATATCCAGCCGCCGCAAATTCTTCAGACCCTCAAAAGCTTCGGGAGCTAGTTCTGTCAGCCTGTTCCCTCTAAGGCCCAGAAACTGCAACTTTGCGAGCCCTGCAAAAATCTCAGAAGGCAATGCGGTGAGCCTGTTGAGATCCAGATAAAGTTCCTGCAAATTGTCGAGCCCTGCAAAAACCCCAGGAAGCAATTCCGTCAGCTTGTTTTCAAAAAGGCTAAGCATCTGCAATTTGTTGAGCCCTGCAAAAACTTCAGAAGGCACTTCCGTCAGCTGGTTCGAGCGCAGCCTGAGGGTCTGCAGATTGCTGAGCCCTGCAAAAACTCCAAGAGGCACTTCCGTCAGCTGGTTCGAATCCAGGTCAAGGGGTTCCAGATTGCTGAGCCCTGCAAAACATTTGGGATTCAATCTCTTGATCTTGGTCAACCGCAGTTTGAGCGTCTGCAAATTGTAAAGCTCTATAAAACCCTCCGAAGGCAATTCCATCAGGTCGTTGTTGGAAAGGTCAAGTGAGGTCAAATGGCTCAGCAGTGCGAAGCTCTCCAAAGGCAGTTCCGTCAGCATGATGCCTGAAAGGTCGAGTGTCTGCAAATGGTCGAGCCCTGCAAGAAGTTCAGGGCGTAGGTCATTGAGTTTATTGCTTCCCAAGTCAAGAGTTTGTAGCCATCCGTTCGTTGCAAAGAGCCCGTCGGGTAGTGTTGACAAACGGTTGTGGCTGACGTCAAAAACCTTAAGGAGTGGACTGTGCACCAGAAGCTCCACAGGTAAGTCTCTCAAATGGTTGCCCAACCAAAACCTCTGATAATTCAAACCAACAAACCCTCCTCCCAGCAGTAACTGTTCCAAGGCGGGCATTGGGTACAACAAGGTCTCTGGCAAATGCTCCAAGTGGTTGGGGCTCAGCGACAGGATCTTCAAGGTTGACAAGCCCTCAAAAGCATCCGGATGGATGCGCTTCAACAATGTTTGAGTCAGGAAGGCCGTTTTGTGCAAAACATACAAGGGATTTCTCGAGAGCGACAACCGCTGAAGGCTTCCTGATGACCTGAAAGCACCCTCTGCAATGCTGCTGATATTCGGGTTCCTCAGGCTCACATCCTTGAATCCAAGAATGTTTGCAAGCTCGCAATTTGCAAGCTGCGTGCCTTCAGAGATCTCCACGCAATCGCATGGAAAGCAGCGGAAATTCTCCAAATGACCAGGGTAGGAAGGACTTGAAAGTAGCAAAGAAATCACGATGATCAGCAAGCTGCAAGAGTACCTGTTGGTGTTGAGGCAAATGCCACGAAAACATAATCATCATGTTTTTAGAAGAACAAATTGTAAGAAAAGCAAAAAGAAACATACACACAATAAAATCAACTTGTATCCAAATCCGAAACACATTCCTTTACAAATTGTTCCGCATGTCCCCAAGTTGGCAGAACTCTTTCTGCGCGCACTTGATCGAGCAGTAGAATGTTGCAAGGGCGTGGTATCTTCCTTCCAGTCAATGTGCTCCAAAGCACGACACACGGCACAAACGTGGGCCATTGAATAATAAACAGCCAAATAACCCAAAACATCTGAAGGAAGAGCAAAACCTGGTTCCAGTTCCGCTGCGAGGTTGGCTGCTGGTTGGTCACCGAAATTGCCTGCAATGGTTTCATTTAGCCGGAGCTCATAAATGGCAAGCAAGGACATGACTAAGTACGTCATGGTACAAGCCACATCAAGGATGGCATCCATAATGGCAGCGCCCAATCGCGCCCACTTCTCCAAGGGAAACAAGAACAGAATGGTCGGATGCAGGCTGTTCAGGCAAAAAAACCACAAAAATCCAGAAGCACAGCTGAAATACTGTTGTCAATGTTGAACTCTCATAAACTGAAAAGGTCACAATGCCACCAAGTATTCGTAGTTTTCCAAATGCTTGCAGCAACACGGTGAGAAGTTGCAGAATTGCCACTTTGAAAGTGTAGTGTTGTCCTTGAAGCCCAAAATATTCCTGGTAAAGTACCTGGGTGGGTTGCCGCAGTTTCCTTCTCAACATCGGCTGACAGCCACGGCACAAGTCATGCAGTAGCACCACTAGAAGCACCAGGTATGGCAAAGAAAGAACTATGGAAGGCCACCAAGTCTCCTCTGTTACAAGTTCAGTTGCAGGCGACGTCTCTTTCTTTTCTTTGAGAGCAAAAACATCTTTCAACGATTTCTCTAGGCCTGCACGGAAGGTTGAAGGACTGTAGCGGATGAAGTATTGTGCTGCGAGATACATAGCAGCAAGTAAGGACAATCCACGAAGAGCAAGGAGAGCTACAATCAAATACCATGGGCGATGGAGATGTCGAGATGAACCAAGTGGAAACCAACTGCGATTCGGCAAACCTTCGATGTTCACCCACGTCGCTAATTTTTTCCTCTGAAACGTTTCAAAGATTTGATGGAACGATGCAGCTCAATTCGATCTTCTGCTGAAATTTGGCCACATCCACTCAGATCAAAAACCAAACCTTCCAGATTGCGAAGGGAAGGCAAATTCAACGCTCCCAGATCTTCCAAACGTGGACAATTCATCAACCTGCAGCAGTTAACAGTGATTTCATTTCTGGGACACCTTCAAGGTCCAAACACTAAACCTCGAAGCATAATATGAAGAATACAAAAAACTGAAGAAACAATCGTGTTCATGGTTACTTTACGTTCTCCGAACAAGCATGAAGCATCATCTCAACAAATCTATCTTTCTTCTGAGTACAAGGAAAGCTGAAGAACTGAAACAATCAAACAAAAAAGGTGTTGAACTTTTCAACTCAGTGGACCATAGGCAGTTTTGAGGAAGCGAAGGAATCCAAGGTCTCCAAACCTGAAAAACCCAGGTCCAATCGTTGAACTTGCAAACCCGCAGGAAGGTGTTGGAGCAAAATCTTCCGTTCAAGATCTGAGAAATCTCCACATCCAGTGAAGGACAGTTGTAGCACTTTTCCAGTGAGTATCTGCACTCAACGCCCTAGCAAGTGTCTCAGTGGCCTTGCGTTCCTGCACATAGCCATGCCAACTTGCCAAAGCAAAATGCGACGCAAGCGCTTCATCGACTTTCTGGAAGTTGGGATGTTCTGGTGGGTGGGACTCCGGGGTTTCCAAGTCACAGGTTCCAAGGCGTGGAAAAGCGATGTTGTTCAAGATGCACACCTTGTCGATCTTCTGCGTAGCTTTGGTTTCCTCCATGTCCGACTGTCAGACACATGAAAACATGATGAAGGGTTTTCATGGGATTCCTTTTAGATCATTCTAGGCATGAAAAGGCTAGGTAACCTCAATGTCAAGCGAGTAAAGCTTAGACTTTTCATTGCACCAAGCATCTTCCACCTTGACCTTCAAACTTCATTCCAACAAATCCAGTGGAAAACCACGTTCTCGGATGGACTTGCGATGCAACGCCACGATGCCAATCATCCGAGTCTCACTTCCCGCAAGGCCGTCCGTGAGCACATGAGCCTAAGCGCAGCTCCGGAGAGGCTTCAACAAAAACTTTGTGTCGGCACAGGACCAAAAAGTCCAAGTGCCTCCTAAGAAGGTGTTTTGGAATGGTCTTGGGGGTTAAACCACTTCTGAAGAGGTGAAGAACCCTCTGTGAAGCAGTTATTGCATGTGCCCGCACCCAAGACTTATAGTGAAAACTGATTGGAGACAGACCTTTGCAGAACTTGCAGGTCATATGATCAAACATGGATGCCCCTTGAAACTGTGCCGAGTTACAGTGGCTCCCACATCCAGCAGCAAACGACGTCTTGACCAATGGTCCTCTCGATGTTCGATGGCCTTAGCCACTTCGCACGGTGGCACCATGAGTTCCTTTGACAAAAAAAAAGAAATCAAGGGAAGTGAGTCAAGAGAGTTTTCCTGCGGATTTCCTGCAAACCCATACCCTGATGTTTCATGAGGGACAAGGGCCAAACAAAAATGGTGTTGAGATGTTCTTACTTCATTATAGCTGCGTCTTGGATGAAGCGCAACGAACCAAATCAATGCAAGTCAGTGCTTTTACAAATGAGAAGCAACGTTTCGGAAGCAAGTCTGTAAATAGAGTACTCTTTTTCATCCCCCATCCCCTGAGGCCCTTACAATGGATTCTTCGAAGCAACACCAGGTTCTCTGAAATGGAGTTCCAGCTGAATCCAAGACCAAAAGAACGCCCCGGCACACCTGCATGGCTCGGTAGAAGGAGGTGCTGCGTGGGTTGCTCGTGATGTCCTCCTCCACCGCATGTTGGTTGTTTGCATAACCACAAACCCAGTAGCGGGCGGGAGCTGTTGCCAGGACCTTGCACACGGGTTCCTCACTGACAGGTGAAACTAGTCAAGCTTCAGTTATCCGTGCTAGAAGCATCTGCAGGCCAGCAACCAGGAGCTCACTAAGTTGTTCGCCAAACCAGCTTTCAACTCAAGGTGCCCAATCAAACATGAATCAAAAAGAAACCAAATCCAAGGTTTAATCCAAGCATGCGACACAAACCAATCAGGGATCTGAACAGCTACTGCCATGATCTCTACTAAGCTGCATCCTTTTCCATAGCCAGCTGTTGCTGGCTTGATGACCCAATGATTCGCATGATGTATTTGAAGATCTTGAACTCCAGTGGTCTCCCAGCATCTTGTCCATAACTTTCACACCATTTGTCTGCCATCGTACTAATGAATCCCACAAGCCGTCTCAACTGCTCCGAGTTTATCCCACGCTCTGCGGTGTCTTCAATGTAACAAGCCTCCTGAAACAAAAACTCTTTCATGCAACGGTTTGAAGGGCCAACGGCGCACCAACAATCCAGCCATGGTGTTTATTTCTTCGTGTACCAAGTTGAAAATAACATTGACTAACATTGAGTTTTCTAATCTTTTTGTACTTTTGGAATGAACATGATGCCCAAACAGGGGGTTTGCAGTGCTTTCTGCTTGCAGACTCGTTTGCATTGAATCTCCTGGTTGTTGATCGCAGAGTAATTGGCCAAGACCAGGTGGTGGAATTCGTCGACAACATCAGCAGCGTTCAACTGCCGACGTCCCGCGGCGGAAAGCAGTTTGTTGCCATGCCAAGGACAATCGCCAGCCGGCGTAGCAGGCGTAGAACCAGCTACAGCCGCTTGCAGGGGTCAAAGGAAAATCGAAGGAGCCGTCGCCAGGAATATCCACAGAGATTGACATGGCTCAGGTGTAGCAATCCTTTGTGCTAACACCCAAGAGGCGAGAATGAGACTGAATTAGGCCATCCAGACTGAAAATTTGTCCAACAACAGTGGCCATTTTACTGGTTGATACTGTTTGCAATCATGCCTGTCTCCGCGGGTCTTGTTGTCAGAGAGGCAATGACCAATGAAGCAAAATGAAGCGAGTATATTGAGGAGTGATGATGGTTCTGCTTCAGATTTTCGTATTTTTCACTGCTGACTCGCAACAAGGGCAGCCAAGAAATACAACAGCACTCCACTTCATTGAGTTTGGTGAAAAGCCGGAATCCAAGTTGATCTACTGCCGCTGGTTGATTGAATGCGTTGCCTTAGCTGGTTGGATGGCCTTTCGCTTCGCCAGGCGCAACACTCTGACGGGTGTAGGTTGACATCTGCAAACACCACAAAGAAAACTTTAAACTGGTCTCCCTTATCTCAAATCGTTGAACTCCTGTTCCACCGACGAAACCTCCTATGGCTCAGCCTAGATCGGCTAGCTAGTGCAGCTAGTAGTAGTGGCCTCCAACTTAATAGCGACGGCCCCCACTTAGTAGCCTCTTGCTATTATATTTTTTTGTTTTTCTATGCCGGGAAACCACGTAAATACAATTGGTTTTTAGCTATCGTGTGCTAGCCTTGGGTGTGCCACCACTGGGCCAAACATAAGTTCTGCCTGTGGGAGATGTCCACCCCACCCCGTTTATTGTCGGATCAATTTCTTTCCGCTGTTAGTTATCAAGCTCCCATCCCGAGCTAAACGGAACTGCGACCCTGTTAGTCACAGGAGGCTGGCCACACTTCCGCGCGGAGACGAGGAAAAACAGCTGGCCGAACCCAAGCCGGGGAAGGGGAAGTCCAACAGCACCTCCTGGGCGGAAGTCCAGGTGGAAACCCAATGAATATCCAAGGGGTCTCATATAGTCAGGGTGGGAGACGGCTGGCGTTGGTGGATGGCTCTGGGTAATGGGGGCCCGGTGGGCGGGAGTGCTTCTGGGTCGAGGCAGGACAAGCAAAAACGACGCAAAGGCGTAACCACCAAGACTCTTTTGAGAACCTTTCATGGAATTCCATGGGACATGAAAATGCCAAAGGGCAAAAAAACATCAAGGACACCATTCTGATGTGGCAAGGACAGCAGGTTGACTGCAGATGAACGCGCCTTGTTGGCGGCACTTGGATGTGCCACCATTGCAGCAAAAACTTGACAGAGGAGGGGGCGAACGAAAGGTAGCAGGCAGTCACAAGTAACCCTGGTAGAAGTCCATAACGGCGTGAACCGGTGCAGGGGGATTTGATCCAGGGGGGGCCCCGTATGTTCAACACATGGGGCCACGCAGCAGGCGCACGTATAATAATGTACGGGAAGATAACAACGTAGCCGCTAGGTGGACGCAAACACGCCGCTAAATGGACGCAGTGACACCGCTAAATGGACGCAATGACACTGCTAGATGCACGCACTGATGAATGCTACGAAAACACACCAACGCGGAGCCCGAGCCCGCTGAGCCCGCTCGAGCCCGGTGAGCCCGTTGAGCCTGCCTGAGCCCGTCGACCCCGTCCGAGCCCGCTGAGCCCGCTGAGCCCGCTGAGCCCGCCGAGCCCGCTGGGCCCGTCGAGCCCGTCGAGCCCGCTGAGCCCACTGAGCCGCTAAGTCCGCTGAGCCCGCTGAGCCCGCTGAGCTTACGTTTCACAAACATGAGATTCAAGTGTGCACAAAACTATAACAAAGTACAGCCCGCTATGTCGACGCCCCCCAACGAACAGAATCATCTCTTACAGGACAAAATTCAATGCACAATCCCAACTCCTGATTGAAATACATTGTTGCTAAAGCAAGGAGAACTCATGTAGCTCAAGCTACCTTTCGTGATTAATTCTGCCTGTGGGAGATTTCCACCCATCTATTTTCGGGAAGGGCCAAAACCACCAAGAGTCTTTTGAGAACCCTTCATAGAATTTCATGGAGCCATGAACCAATTCTGATGTGGCTGACGGTGGCAAGGACAGCAAATTCACTGTACACATCAAACGCTACATTGTGCACTGCTATGTCTTTTCTTTAGCGATTGTTTTTTTCAAGTTTCGTCTTGCGTTCTTGCCTCGAAAAGGGCGAACAACCGCCACAACATACCACATGTCATGCGACGCACCAAAAAAAAAAAAAAAAAAACTAATTCATTTAAGTTCCTCTTCCGCCATGATTGGTTTAATCCTTCAGCTTCGCGTAATTATATAAATGGTGAAAATTTAACTAGGGGGCAGGGTGTACCCTATTTAATTTACACACCGCAAGGAGTAACTTTTTTGCCAACCACCTGTTGTGGGCCGATGGAACCAGCCATACGGTGCAAATGGTGGTGGCTGCACGCAGGTGCCGCCGATTCCGTTGCAATTGCACTTTACCGAGTTGCTGGGCACCTGGTCACTCGCAGTGAGAAGGAAGGGTCCCGCTGCTCCTGCAAGCACTACCACCTGACTAGGCAGACTGGTGGGGCGCCGGACGCGGATGTGCTCACCCCGGAGTTCAGCTACCGGTCCGCGCGAGGCTCGACAGAGCTTGCTCCCCCGATGCCGCTCGGAGGCCTTGAGTGCTTCCAGTGGCCCCACCACATTTCGGGCATCAGGGCTTTCCTCTTCGACCAACCGTGCCGCGCAACCCTTCGATACTTCATCCTGATCACGAAGGACCCCTCGCACATTATGCCACGTGACAACCCTCAACTTGTACTCACATTAGGTTGCCTCCTCGGTTCCACTACTGGTCGAGGTGAAGGGGCCGAACCCGGCCAACGCATATTGCCCGTGAAAGGTCTCCAATAAAGATTTGCGGCCTGACATCAACCACGAAACTGTCACCAGGCCGACATTGTTACCCAGGATGCGGCCAAGCACACCAGCATGACATCTAAGAATCTAAGATTCCCGCACCACAATCCAGAACAGCAGACCAGCCACGCAGCAACCAAACAATGCTTGGCGATGATTGGAAACGGCGAAGCGCCACCACAAAAACGCCATTTCATTGGATCAGAGGCACCATCACGTGTGCCCTTCCCACTGACAGTCGTTCAGAACACCGCACAGCACCAACAGCCACCACTGCTGAAGCAGGGGAACCCTGAAACAACACCACTGCCTCACGGAGACCGCAGGCAAAATACACCTTGACCCCGGCAACCGCGTGCAATTTTGGCAGCTCCGGCATCAGCAAAGCTTTCAGCGCCCACTGGCACATGAGAAGCAAACCGACCACACTGCCTTTTTGGAGAAGTCCGCGAATCCAATGAGCCAATCCAACAGTGAGTGCATGCATTTGGGAGGTTCCACTGGATTGTCCCCAAAACCTGGCGACTGTGTACAGTGTACATGGGTTGCCTGCCATAGAAGCTTTTCCATTTGGGTCTCACCACCACAACCGGGACCAGGAGGCAGTGGCTGTGGCCACTAAGGTGTAAGCCAGTGTAAGCATTTATCTGGTTCGACGTCTGCGGGCACTGGTCCAATGCATGAGATATGCCAAGGTCATGCAGGTAAGACGAACCTTGCACGATGGGTGGCCTTGATGAATCAGGCAAAGGTGAAGGGAAGTCCGGAGGGAGTTCTTCCGGAGGAAGGTGCGGCATCCATCTGAGCACGCCCCACTGGCGGCGGCTTGATTTGACGAACGCAATTCGCGAAAAAATTGTGACATGACCGGTCAAAACCCCACAGCACGGATAACTCCTACTCCTGCCGCATCATTGTCCCAAAGGGTTTGCGTAATGTCTCCACCCTTTGGGCATCTATGCCGTGCTGGCGCCTTGCGCAGCGGGTTTCAGTTAAAGTCCCGAACCCAATATCACCAGAGGCCAAGGCCAATCCCATGGGGATGTGAAGGTGCATGTCAGTGCATGTCCCAACCATGCAACCAACATGTTCCACCCTGAACGCGGGTTTTGGCGCCGATAAAATGAACGAATTCTCAACGCATGTGCAGAAAAACAATCACAAAGACTGAGATGTTTTTTTGCGGCTGCGGTTCAACTCCACCAATAGTTTCTTGAGTTTTGAATCAATTTCTGGCACAATGCTGTCAGCTTAGTGGGACATGGCGTTTTCATGATGGCATCTAGTTTTGACGGCTGCCCGTGAATGCGAAACCCGTTTCGTTTGACTGAACATTGAACCGACATTGGTCACGTGCTCGGTTCCGAAACTGTGGAACTCAAAGCAATCCCCTTTTTGGATCATTTGACCACAGTGTGACCCTCCCTCATTGTTACCTCCACAACGGTGCCCCTGAAGCAATAATTGCAAACATCTTGAAACATGCCAAGCCAAGGACTTGACTACGAGAAGTTGTCACCCCAAAAAACCCAAACACTGCTGACTGTTTGCTGACTGTTTTTCCACAGATTCGACCCAAAACACGAAAAAACAATACAATCCAGTTTTGTCCCGTTCCTTCGAAATCCCCGTTT